CTGCACCTTGTGTGCAGATTCAGGTATAGCTGGACACGGTAGCGGTTATTGAGTGTTCTGGTTACAGATTTTCTTAGAGATAGCAAGATAGCTGTTTGGTGATCGCATCCCCTANACTAGATAATTTGATTCAAATCCTGATTTTTAAAGCATGTGGTATTTTACTGAGATTTCCTGATATGAGCGTTATATGTTTTATTGCTCATCACTACTGCTCAGTCTTTATTTATTGTTGTTACTTACTGAGTTGGCGTACTCACGTTACTCCCTGCACCTTGTGTGCAGATTCAGGTATAGCTGGACACGGTAGCGGTTATTGAGTGTTCTGGTTACAGATTTTCTTAGAGATAGCAAGATAGCTGTTTGGTGATCGCATCCCCTACTCTTCTCCCTCTTATCTTCCTCTAGTTATATTTAGCTATTTTTCAGGCTGAGTTAGCCTTGATATTGTTAGACAGATTGTAGCAGATGCTCATGACTAGTGACACCCCGATGTCGGGCTTTTCTTTTCCGCACTTCTATTTTTCTTTGATTTGAACTCTTAAAATGGAAGTTTTATGTTAAATAACCTTGAAATTATCTTTGAAATGAAAATATCAGTTTATTTTGGAAATGAGTCGGCTTGCCTAGTTCCACGATAGGCGCCATCACGACAGGGGTTAGTTTTGGGTCGTGACAACAGTACTGAGTGATTGAATATCAGTGATTACGTATATATATTTGGGATGGATCTTCCCTGGGCTGGATTTACCATATACAGTACTGTGAGATTGAGTACTCTGAGAGTGTGAGTACATGAGTTCATCAATGTGTTGCATTGCATTAGACATGTATACTTGATATGTAGGCATAGAGAAGTATTTTTTCTCTTGCCATCTGATAATGAGATTTCTTATCTATCGTTAAAGTTTTTGAGAAAAATCACAGATTTCAGACTTACTCATATTTTCGGTGACTTTCGGCGAAAGATTCGAGTTTTATTGTTATATTGAAAAGAAAATGTTTATTTTTCAGAATTTTATACGAGCTGAGCATTTTATTATTGAGTTATTACTTGTGCTGCTTTAAATTGTATTGTTATGAGATGTTATTAGTTATTGGAGTTAGACTCTGACCCTTATCCCAGCTCGTTACTACTTTCAACCTAAGGTTAGGATTGTTACTTATTGAGTACATTGGGTTGGTTGTACTCATACTACACTTCTGTACCTTGCGTGCAGATTTCTGATGCCGATGTTGCTGTGTATGGCGGGAGCTGGCATGGAAGATGTACCTGCAATCTGATCATAGTTGCCTCTTGTTCTTGGTACCTCCAGAATTATTAATATGTTCATACATATTTCAAACAGATGATGTAGTTTTATTTCACACCAACTTTGTAAATTCTTATATTAGAAGCTCATGATTTGTACTATCAATTCTTGGGAAGTGTATTAGAATCAGTTAAATATTAATTGAATTGGATTGTTGTTATTTGGCTTACCTAACGGGTGAGGTTCGATGTCATCACGGCTAGTTGGATTTTGGATCGTGACACTTACATCAAGTTGTTGATATATTGTTAAATGCTTCGCTACGATGCAAGCTTTCGTGGACGATATCGTTATGACAAAGGCATTCATGTGATATTGATCAATTTTATGAGAGACATAATCAACACTTACAAAATAGCAATTCAATAGTGCAAATTGCTGTTTTCTGGCCCAAATAAAGGATTATGAAATTTGAAAATTGTTAATCACTAACTATTTTTATTTCACATGTTTTAACAAAATCATTCGGTTTAATAAAAGGTAACTCCATATGATCAGTCGGTAATGGTTTGCTGAAAGACAATTCCACAATTAGTCATGTTTTACGGGATGATTTTTCGAAGAAGTTAAAATCATATGTTGCTTACTCCTTGGGTTATGAATTGGGTTGTAGTCCTGTCATAGTGTCATTTTATAGTGAAAAAAGCGCACACAGAAGGAGACAAAGTAAACAAAGAAGAGGGGACAAGCAGAACGAATAACCTAATACTAAGCTAGCGTTTCAACTTAGATTTGATTGAAACTTAAAAAGAGTTTTTAAAGTTATGTTGAAAAATAATTTTTAAAAATTAAATTTGTGTTTGGACATGCATTTTATTTGAAGAAAAGAATAAGTTTTGTGAGTGAAAAAAAAAATTTTACCCAAAAATTGCCCTAAATCAGAATTTGGGAACTTGGAAATTTTTCAATTTCCCCCTCCCCAAAACATAATCATATTTCATAAACAAACAATGTTTTCAATTTCTTTTTAAAAAATGGAGTCAAAATCTATGTTCAAATAGGAGGTAAGATTATGTGAAGGGTTATAACCAAAGGAAAGTTCCAACGATTAAATTAGGAAGTAAACACAATATAAATAGCGGTAGCTAATGTTAAGAGTAGATGTGGTGTTCACTCAAATATAGTTATAATGGCATATATTGAATGGTATAATTAAATTTCATATGGGCGTGTTATACGAATGATTATGCATCTAAATCATAACATATATGAAATGCAAATCCATATGACATTTGCTCATGAGTACACCAATACAAAGATCAACTTTTTACTTGTACAATAAGGGTGTAGTGCGATGGACGTTGAGATTTCTCTGCTTTTATGCAGAGAAATTCGATTCGATCCTTGAGAATAGAGAACTTTTGGATAAGAAGCGCTTTACTTCTCATAGTGTGTCGTCTATCTGACACAAATACAAATTAATCAAATTAGTGAAGTTTGAATATGATCAAAAGCATAGAAAAAAATATTTAGTTTGTGGTTGTGGAACAAGCAATTTCAAGGTACATATCACATCGTATGATTTAAGGTTTTGGTCCCATGAATTAACCTACGTACCCCTATAGACTTTCTCTTTGAGTGAAATGGTTCTATTATTCCCTAAATATTTGAATCCTTATATGTTTTGTCAATGTCTAAAAGTAGAAGCGAGTCTCTTTCCAACTTTGGAGTTGAAATGGAGAAGAAATGATCAAGTTCCAGCTCAACTTTTTCTCCCTAACGAAAATAGTAACCAAAAAGGTCACAATTTGAATAAAAAAGCAAATGTAAAAGAGTAAAAAGATGAATAAACAGTCAAAAACACATTATTCCATCAACCTCCTTATGTCCCCTGCTTCAAACCCTCCTCACCCCCTTCCTTGCCTCCCAGGTACTATATTAAATTATAGTAATATTCTTATTGTTCATTTAACACCTTATTATTATTATATATATGTGTGTTAATACATGATTCTCTTCTAAATGCTGGTAAACAATTTGTAACAACTTTTTCTTACTAACTTGACTTTATTATATTAGGCATAATTTTGGTTGAACTTCTACAACTTCTTTGAATTTGGTTTACCTTTAGGAAAGCCCCTAATGCTCCAAAGTAACTGTTCAAGGTAAAGAACTTAACTCACAATTCGAAATTTTCCAACTATCCATCTAAATACTAAATTTTTTTATTAATTAATGGAGTCAGTCATATGAATTGTTTCCACCTATTACACTTTATTTAAGTATAATAATATTCACAAAATCTATCATAATCAAATTATTTTGACATTAGTCATCAATTTATAACAACGAAGCCATTGCGGACCGAGAAATTCTAGCAAGAGGATTTAAGAAATATTAGAATACATTTATCACCTGTCAAGGCGCTTTCACAATGTATAATATATAAAAAAGTTAGTTTTAACCCTATTTATTCATATATTTTCTCAATGAATGAGATTCCATAAGTACGATTCGCATTCCAAATTTAATTTTATACATTGGGAAGGAATTTATTTTCATACTATTATCATTTAAAAGATAGGAGTAATTAATAAGTAAAATTAGTAAATTAAAAAATAAAACAGAGCATATGTTTATTATTAGTTGAACAGCACTGAATAGTATAAAAAATTATGCTATTAGTGGATATTAAGCTAGCGTTTGGACATATATTTGATTGAAAATTAAAAAACAAAATGAGTTTTTGAATATAAGATGAAAAATAATTTTTGAAAATTGAAATTGTGTTTGGATATATATTTTACTTTAAAAAAATTGAAGTTTTGTGAGTAGAAAATTTAAAAAATTATTCTAAATATATTTTTGGGATTTGAAGATTTTATTTTTAAAATCTACCAAAAATAATTATAATTTATAAACGAAAAGATATTTTTTGAAAAAAAAGCTCTCAAACTTTATGGAAGGAGCTTAAATCCATCTCTCTAGTCTACTACTAGTCGTCTTCGTCTTGACAGTACGCTTTCCTTTTTTTCCGCCAATTTGGAGTTCCACAAACACAGGAAATTTATATACAGAGAGAGACAGAAAGACATACAGAGGAAAAGAACAGTGCGTGATTTCCCCCCCTCAACTCCCTTGTTCCACTTCCCTCATTCAATTTCACACATTCCCCCTTTTCTCTCTCTAAAGTAGTAGTAATTACTTCTGGGGTTTTCTCTTTTTCCTTTCAAAGTTTTCAACTTTCTCAATTTTTGCCCCTTCACCCTGAAATAACACCCATCTTCTTCTTCTTCTTCTTCTTTCTTCAATGAAGATTTAGCTTCCTTTTTTTTGCTGCTGATCTTGTTTCAGGTTGCTGCTTCATCTCTTTTCTTTTCCGTACATGTGTGCCTTTTCATTTTATGTTTGAGCATATTTTGTTTAAAGGTAGAAACTTTATGTAGTATTGTCTTTCTTCTTTTTGAATGTTCACAGTAGCCTTTAAGATGGTCTTCCTTTCTGGGTTTTGTTTCTTCTGCTACTGATTGAAATATGACATCATATTTGCTGATATTTTTTTCCCTTTTGGGCTTTTCTTATAACAGTACAGTTTGTTGATTTTTTCTTTTCATAAGCTGGAATATTATTGTTGTTTGATCCTGATAGAGATGATCTTTTTTAATTTTTCTGGGTAGCCCTTTTCTAATGTTAAGTATTTCTTGTATGTCATTTCCCCTTATATTAGCTAATAAGTTCTATGTATCACAGATTTGTTGACTGAATCTTTGGATGATTTTAGCTTTATTTTGGTGGATTTATTTATCATTTGAAGCTTTTCTTGAAACTGTTGTGGGGAAACAAATGTTAACAAAATTGCTGGAGCTGTATATATAGAAAAACTAATGAAATTTAGAATTTTAAAATGAAATAGAAAAGTGAACAGGTCATATGAGTTCACAGCTTTAAGCATTAATGAATGTGCAAGAAAATAAACGATATGTTGGAAATTTATTGTTCTTAAACTCGTCTTCATGGTGGTTGTCTAGAGTAGTAAAGTCTACCCAGATTTGTTTTTCGACATTGTCTACATATGAACAACTGTCTGTAGATGTGATAAATAGGTGTACCATGGCATGAATTTAGTCAATAGGTTTATAATATGGAAAACTGCATAGTCCTTTATCTTCAATTCCCAACTGCAGTAATTAAAACAGAAGTACTGGAAAAGACATAACTTGTGGGTGCTATAAATTGTTTTTATTGGCTTTAAATGGCTCAATTTTTCTTGTGAATTGATTGTTCATCATTAAATTGCTGAACTATTTCATCTGTAGCAGATAATGGATGCTGCATACTGAATGCAGTCAAGAGGTAGTTGCCAAACTTTTTCATCTTGGAATTGAATATGATCAACAACCATTTTGGAGGTCTTCTAATGCACTGCTCCAATTGTGTGCTTCTTTCTCTTCATACTGCTTTGCTGAGATGGGCTAGATAGACTTTACTGGCCACATCAAACTTGCTTTTGACCATAGATATGCATCTAGAAGCAATGGGCGGTTTGCCTGGTACTAGTGAAATTACGGAGTCAATAGAGGACTTAAATCCTGAATCTAAAATGGATGATGATATCCTGAACACTGGTAAACAGTATTGTATGAAGGATGATATTAACAAACTGTTTGAAGCTATAGAAATTAGGACTTCCCATAGAGGTGTCAAAGATGCATTGAATAAAAGCGCAATGAAGAGACCAATGAGATGTAGCCCCGCTCGAGCATCAGGTTTTGATAATTCTGAGCCTGCAAGTTTGAAGCAGGCCTTCAGAGGATTATGCATCTCTCAGGCATCAGAGCTTGCGGCTGTGAAGAAGCGGTCGTCAAAAGCGTCCAGGCTGTCAGGTGTCTCAGAGACAGGGGCTGCCAAAAGACTTTACAGGCCCATCGCTGTGCAGGTTAATGGCCCTGAACATACTGTCAACGAAGGTATAGGGAATTTAGTGGAGATATCCCTCATCCCAGATATGAGTATGTCAAATCCTTCTGATAAGATTACTGACTATGAACATGTGCCCATTAAAGAAAAATCTACTTATGCTGCCTATTCTTGCCATCTTTCTAAAGATGCAATGAAACATGGTGCAAAAATAAGTGAAATTTCAGGCGGAGATGAGGCTTTTCCACACTCAACTGATATTTGTTCTGGTTACTTAAAAGAAGTGTCTGAGCAGAAAGATGTTTTGGAACTACCACATTCTTCAACTGCCACTTCTGCTAATAAAGTTGAAGCCCAAATGATGCCATCCCCAGATGAAGCTCCGACATTTGTAATCCCAGCAGACAAGAAGCAGGCACGAGATTTTGATCTTGTTTCTTGCTCATCTATTTTTAGTACTGGAAATAAAGTCATCAGACCTACTTCTAGCAGTCCAAATCAGATGAGACCAGTTTCCAGAAGTAGAACCTTTGTTAAGAAGAAAGTCGCTTCTGTTCTCACCAGCAGTTCCAAGCAATCTAATGGTGACAATGATTTGAGTTGTAGTACAAGTGAGATTGCTTGTCAGACACCTGAACACGTACTGAGGAATAATCAGAAAGAAGAGGATAAGGAATCTTCAGAATCATGTTGTGCTAATAGCATAGAAGTTAGTTCATCTATGCTGGATGCAAGTGTTGCCAAACCTGGTCTCAGCTCAAGCAGTTGTAACAGAACAAGAAGTATAGTTACAAAAGGTGATGAAAGATCATTGTCAAGAGAAAAGGGGGAGATATCTCAAAGTTCAAAGAGTAGCATCGGGGATTATAGCAGCACCACGAGCGTTAGCGAAGAAAGCTATCGCAGTGGGTCTAGCCGCAGTGGCTGTCGACCTCATATGTCCAAGGATTTGAGATGGGAAGCCATTCGTTGTGTTCAGAAGCAGTATGGAAACATTAGTTTGAAGCAATTTAAGTTGCTTAAAAAACTTGGCGGAGGGGACATTGGGACTGTTTATCTATCTGAACTAATGGGCACAAACTGTCTGTTTGCTGTGAAAGTTATGGACAATGACTTTCTGACCAGCAGGAGGAAGATGACAAGAGCGCAGACTGAAAAAGAAATACTGCAAATACTGGATCATCCATTTCTTCCTACGCTCTATGCCCATATTACCAATGACAAATATTCATGTTTAGTGATGGAATATTGTCCAGGAGGTGATCTCCATGTACTCCGACAAAAGCAACCCAACAAGAATTTCTCTGAACAAGCAGCCAGGTAGAACTATTCTTTGCTAATAACAGGTAGTATAGGTGCTTATATACATTTTTGTGGTCACTCTTATATTTCGCGATTGCTATCTGTTTGAGAAGTTATGCATGTCTTAGGGCCTTTATGTTAAGACTTCAGAGAATCTCTATTTTCAAGGGTCTACTAGAATCTCTTTTGCGTCCCCCTAAATGACTTCTATTTATTATTTGCTGATGGATAATAGCTTGCTTTATGCTCTAACTTGAATTATTCAACAAGAATAGAACTTAACTTGTGTAAATATGGAGGTTAAATGATATTAAGAACCAAGGTTCAGTACAAGAAAACAGGAAATATTAGAGAACTTCTCTCTTTGATTTGGATTTCAAGCAGATCAAGCTTGTGAGATTTCAAAAAATATCCTTCTCTTCCAATTGCATTGTATGTCCCGTGTGAAACAAGAAAAAAGATAATACTGTTCCCATGGTTTCTGATAACATCAGTCTTTGTTTTCAATATACACTTAATACTGACGCCCATCAGTGAAAACCTATAAAATGACTCGAATACCTTTAGCCAAAAATTGTTTTTGTCAAGAAACTGGCTTATCAAAGTTGAGATAAAGGTTTGTTTCTCCAAACTTTGGGACCTTAAGACAAAATTTGACTTAATCAGGGGAGTCAATTGAACTTATAGGGAAGTCTCTTTCTCTGCAAAGCTTGAGGGGGTTCCTCGTAATTCTCGGAAAGCTCAGGGGGTCTAGTCTATGTCAAATTATGTCTAATTTTCCTCCAGTTTCCTTTTGTTTCTTCTCTTTGATCATTCCATTTTCCGACCCTCGCATCCGGAAGTGAGTTCCCACTTTTTATGGAGACTTTATTGAGTTAATTTCTGGTGAATGAATTGGGATATGCAACCTGTCTTTCCAGTCATTCTTTTACTTAAAGTTACCTAACAAGTCGAGCCTACCCTTTCAAATTTTACTTGATAAATTTCCAAAAAACTTGTGTTTGAGAGAAGATCTTGTGCTTTATATGTTACTTTGTTGGACAAGTCTTCCTAATATATTTTTGTAATCTGGTGATGGGAGTGCATCTTGTCATTTTAAATCTCGACTAGATGCAGTTTAAGTGGTTTTCTATGTGACCTTGACATTTGCTGTTTCTTTACACAGATTTTATGTCGCTGAAGTTCTTCTTGCTTTGGAATACCTTCACATGCTTGGAGTCATATACCGAGACTTAAAACCAGAGAATGTCTTGGTTCGAGAAGATGGTCATATCATGCTCTCCGACTTTGATTTGTCTCTTAGGTGTGCTGTTAATCCTATGGTTGTGAAATCATCATCTCCTGTCGTTAAGCCTCCAAAGACGTCTAGTCCATGCTCGGAATCTAGCTGCATAGATCCCTTTTGCCTACATCCATCCTGGCAAGTATCCTGCTTCACCCCTAGATTTTTATCTGCCGCAGGTAAGACACGTAAGCTAAAAGCGGATATTGCTGCACAAGTCACACCTTTGCCACAGCTGGTAGTGGAGCCAACCGATGCCCGTTCCAACTCGTTTGTAGGAACCCATGAGTACCTGGCACCAGAGATCATCAAAGGAGAAGGTCATGGCAGTGCAGTAGATTGGTGGATGTTTGGTATCTTTCTATATGAACTGTTATATGGAAGGACACCTTTCAAAGGACCAGGAAATGAGGATACATTAGCCAACGTGGTTTCTCAGTGTCTCAAGTTCCCTGCATATCCTATGGTTAGCTCTAGTGCGAGAGATTTGATCAGACGGTTGTTGCAGAAGGAACCGGAGAATAGGTTGGGAGCTGAGAAAGGGGCAGCAGAGATAAAGCAGCATTCTTTCTTCGAGGGACTGAACTGGGCGTTAATACGATGTGAAACACCTCCAGAACTGCCTAGATTCTGTGACTTGGGAAATGTAATCCCTGATACCAACCAACAGAACAAGGAGAGTGCCAAGCCTCAAAAAGAGTTCAAAAGTATAGGAGAGGATATTGAGTTTGAGATGTTTTAGCGATAGTAGAGCTGAGAATGGATAGGTTTGTTATTCTCTTCTTTTTAACACGATATCTCTTATTCATGTAAGTGGTATATATAGATAGCATTACTTACATATAGCATATAGTGTACAATCCAGAACTTGGCATCAATTGAAGAGCAGAATATACCATGTTTTGTTGTAACAATGTTGTGCTTGGGAGTGGAGTAATATGAAGCAGCCAGGATGGAAATTGGATGTAAAGAGGCTTCAACAAGGTTTCAGATTTTAGTATATAGCTAAGATGCTGTTGATTGGATACTTATAGACACATTTGTCTGAGTTTTCAGCTCAGTGTGGGACTTGATTCCTCTTTAGAGTATATAAAGAAACTTGGTGAATGCAGAAAAACAGAACAAAGTTCCTTTTGAAGCAATATTTTCTAGCTCAGCAGTGACCAATTTTGGAGGTTACTGCATGAAATGGTCAATCCTGGGCCTCTGCCATGTCTAGGACTTCATGTTACTCAAACTCTTAGAAGTAGACATAGGCAAAATGACCGGAGAATTCTACAAGAGGTCAATGCTGCTGACAACTGATATTTTAGATTAAAATTGGTCGACTGCAGTGGCGGAGCCAGAATTTTAATTAAGGAGAGTCAAAATATAAAGAAACAAACTCACCAAGAAGTCAAGGGGTGTCATTATATAGTATATATATATATATATTTTAAAAAACAATTACCGAACTATACAGTGTAATTTTTCGGCAAAGGGGTGTCGGTTGACACCCCTTTGGTGCATGTGGCTCCGCCACTGGTCGACTGACCCTACAAATATCAAAATGAATTTTAATTGGATTTTATTGTATATGACAAAGGACCAGATCAGGGTGATGCTTTTAGTAACAACGTCGCATATTTGTTTAGTATCAAGTAATGATTTATTGAGATATAATTGAGTTAAATAAATGGTCATTAATAATAAATTGAATGTAATCTAATTTATATAGTGTTTGATTTTGAATAAATATAGTATAAAACATTCAAAGAGTAAACAAACGTGGGTAATACTATCAAGAATAATCAAACATTGATCAAAGAATATACTCCAATATATCTTACTATTGCTAGTACATACTGAAAATCAAATAGAACTAGAGTAAATAAAATAAATTAGAGATTAGAAAGCCTCATGCTTTAGCATAAAATATTTACAGTAGTGTCATATTGTACAAGTGAAAACAGGTCAAGGTAAAAGCGTAGCAGGATAATTTAGTAGTAAGGATTAAAGTGAAGGGCACATAACAAAATTTAAATTCTAATTTAGTGCGACTATTGTTACTCTCCTTGCAATGGATTAGACACACCTTATACAAGGGTCAAAGAGGGCCTGGGATTTCTCATTTTGACATGCTTTTTAACATTCGAAATACTATAAAGGAAGATGCATTAGTTGACATGCTGATTTCCACACCAACATAGTCTAATACAAATATGCATAAACCGAAACAGATAAGGAAATGTTTTATGCTGCTGAGTACTGATGGCATATGCCATATATTGGCACGCTCTATTGTCTGCGTCTAACTAGTATTAGCAACTAATAAGTAAGTCCACAAACGAACAAACAGGTCTGAAATATCCCCTTTCGAACTTCAGCTGCCATAGGAACGATGGTCGAGCAGACGCCACCATTTATTCCTTCTTACCTATGCCATGAGACATATTGTAGATCCCTCTCCCCTGAAAACATCATGCAGAGTCTGATTAGAGTTGATTCTAGACAGAGGATAAGGCAATCTACAGAATTGCAAAGAAACTCACAATCATAAACAAAGCAGTAGCTGCCAAAGCAGCTGGAATGGCCACTGAGGTGATCTTGTCATAACGACCTTTCAGGTATGTGTGCTTGTGAACACTTTGGAAAAACTTTTGCTTCTCAACAAGCTTTTCTCTGGGATAGAAAGGTGCTTCTTCTGACATCCTGCATTAATCAATTTAACCTGGTCCACGTTAGGATGGTTAATATCCATTAAGCAGGTCTGCTACTTACTTCTATTTTGTTAAAAGTATACACTTGTATGATTTGTTTCCTTATTTTACCATCTCAAGAAAAATTGTTTGATCTTTTAACATATTTGTGGCACAGTAGGAGACAAGTGAATCTTTCAAGGATATTAAGATAACTAAAGCAAGATTTGCATAAAATAATTTACTCTGAAAAGGAGGTGTCAATTGAACTTGCAGTCGAGAAACCAGATAGACAAGAGAGGAGTCCATCAGCATGATGCACATTAAAAGTGCATGAAATGCATATGGCTGAAGGCACAGGCAGAACACCCAGTCATTTGAATAAAGTGCATTAAGGAATCCACCAAATATAGGTCTCCAGTACAAAAAAGAAGCAAAGCCAGACTGATCCGGGTGTAACATGCAGCATGAAAACTAATAAAATAGCATAACCGACAAAGACAGCACATCTCCCTCACCCCCACCCCCACCCCCCCCAAAAAAAAAAAAAAAAAAAAAAAACCGAACCAAAATGAACTGGTGGTGATGGAAGACCCTGTGAGACCTCTGTTGTGGGTGAGAGTTGTCTTTGTTTTCTCAAATCAATATCGATTAGTTCCAGCAGTGACTGTAACCTTGAAGAAGAAGAATGAAATGCTTTGCAAGCTGTAAGGTTGAGAAGTGAGACAGTTTTGGGTGGAATCGAATTCAATGGATCTAGTGAAACGGAAGAAATGCAAACCAGCACTCTTAAGGTTTAACTATTCAAAAAGAAAAACAAAAGAACAAAAGAAAGCAACAAAGAGCTGACCAAATGACATCCATGGCTTACATTACATCCTCAAATTCTAATTTAACACGTATAATATTACTTTCACTGAACTAAGATGAAAAAACCTGCAGTGACAAACATGTTCTGATAATCTATGTTGGTAGATAGTTAAACCAGGAAGAAAAAGAACAAAGCCAAGACGGTGTTGGCACTCATGTTAACATCAAAGATTATATGATTAAAAATACATAAAGTTCAAAGTCTACCACAACCAAGATCAAATCAATACGCCAATTAGCTCCATGGTTTACATGATTTTTGCACATAAACATGGCTTGACTCAACAGTAAAGACATGAAAAACCCACTCACCAGACTGTAATATTAGTCACTTAGGGTGTGTTTGGTATGAAGAAAACATTTAAAAATATTTTCCAATTTTCCCATGTTTGATTGGTTTAAATGTTTTGAAAAATATTTTGCTCATGAACTCATTTTCCTTCAATTGGAGGAAAATGTTTTCTTTATCAAAAGAAGGGAAAACATTTTCCAAAACTCTTCTTCAACCTTCCCCACTCTATTCTCCATCCCCACCCACCCTCACCCTTCTTAAATAAAAATATTATTAAGAGTACTTTCTTTTCATGTTGTAGATAAAGTACTTTCTTTTTTATTTTAACAATAGTATTTTTTTTTCATGATCCAAAAGAAAGTATTTTCTTTCATTTCAACAAAAAGTACTTTCTTTTCATTATGTAGGAAAAATATTTTCTTTTATTTTAACAAAATGATGTAGTAAAAAGTAATTTTTTTTTATTTCAATAGAATGAGTACTTTCTTTTCCTGTTGTAGAAAGAGTACTTTTTTTTTTAACCAAAAAAAGAGTATTTTCTTTTTAGTTATGGAGCACAAATTTCAACATTGTTTTTTTAAGAAAAAAGTAAAGCAGCACATTAGTTCCTTTGGGTTTGTATGAATTTTTATAAGAATAATTAAATTCTTGAAGAAAATAAAATCCTGAAAATGTTGGGTATTTGAGCGAGGGGTGGGGGAGAGCACAGGAAACATGGGGATTTGGGGGAAGGGAGGTGAGGAGAGTAACATAAAAATTATTTTTCTAACAAAAAATTTCTAGTCTTTAACCATACACTAGAAAATATTTTCCGAAAAAAGTTTTTCACTCACCAACCAAACAAGGTAAAATAAGTGATAAAACAAGTCATTTTCCGAGAAAACATTTTTTCAGAAAAATATTTTTCATGGAAAACATTTTCCTTTCATACTAAACACACCCTTATTGTTCTCGTTTGCATAGCTTAGCTTTAGCTAACAAGACATTGAATCCTCCTCAAGAAGGTTATACCAGAGCAACCTTATCATTCATCCTCGTGCTAGCAAGGAATTGAGGTAGTCCTACAGCTCACCAAAAGAATTCCAAATAATTTTTTTTTATTTAGGCACCGTAAGGATCAACTGTGGTTCTTAATTACCCCATTGTGACTCGAACTTCGAAGTTGTGGCATCTCGCCCACTGAGTCAACCCATACAATTATGAACTTTATCAATTCGAATGACCTAACAAACTAGGCTAGGCTCCCAAATCCAGATAACACTGAAGTAAGTTCTGTTATCGTAGTATACCATCCGTCAAAGAATCTGTAGAATCAAATCAATCCACACAATAAATAGATCGACTCTTAAACACACATAAACAAAAGCAAAGGAGCATAGAAAAGAGTGAAACAAAATTCAATCAATCAGCACAATTGCAAATGATATATCATTAAAAAATGCCAAACTAAAGATTAAATATCATAACAAGCAAATCAGTCAACTGAATCGGAATCAAACGATTTCAGAAGAAAACCCCAGTAAGATAGGTACAGGGAAATTAAGAAAACTTGGGTTGCACAGAAACTAGGGTTTCGAACTCACTTGTATCAATAGAGGGAAAGGTGAAGGCAACGAGCAGAAGGAAGCGTAGACGAAGAGATAAAAAGACTCTGGGTAAATGAATTTGTTGAGACTAAAGCCCAGAATATTCCGGTGATAAAAGTGAATTCCCTTCTTTGGTATTTTGGCTTTTGACTCTCCCTCCTTTTAATTCTTGGGAAAGGGAAATAAAATACAAACTGAACACCAAACGGTTGGCACACTATTCCATTGCTAATTTCATGCTTGGATTTTTGTATTTTTAAATTTTAATTATCTTTATTTTGATTAGTGTTGTACTTCATTTTGGAAACAGGAATTATCTGTTAGGAGCTTCAAGTTAGAGCAACAACTTAATTATGTTAATGTCAATAGTTATGGCTAATGGCTATATTACAAATTCAAACGTGATATCCACCACCTATGATGTTACTCTAGAACATGTTTCTTTTAGCATGTTCCGCTTTGGAGAGAGCGTATATATTCTTGTTTTTTTTTTATAAAAAAAAAAAGCAAAATAATATACGCATATATATATCTAGATGACTAGAATAAAAGTAGCTTAGAACATGTTTTCTAAGTTAGGCCTATCTCCTCATATTTAGCAATGCTTTCGTTTTCTCCTGGTACGTATATCTATTTCAATTCGATTTTCTACAGAAGACTTTCCATAATTTTATAAGGATGAGAGCTAAATGTGCAATATATTCTTAAGAAACTATATTACCAGTCAAATAATTGTTTTGTGATCTCCTTTAGTATGTGAACAATTTCTTATCTTATCTTCCACGATTATGGAATGTTAAGAGCAGTATATATATATATGTATGTACATTGATTATACATGAAGTTGTCGAGAATTCTTTCGCTGTTTTCAAAATGTCTACTTTCTGAGTAATATATACTCCATTAATTGTCAAAGATCATTAAAAAGCTACAGAACATATGTTAATTTTGACTTTCATAAAATAATAATTCAAGCACCATTTATTTTTCATAACTCGAAAGATTCACTACTAGAAATTCGGCAAAAACCGATCAAGGTCGACCGACCAACTTTGGTCGGTCAAAAAACCGATCAAAAAACCGACCAAAGTTGGTCGGTTTTTCAAAATATTTATTTTTTTAATTTTTTTTTACGAAACCAACCAACTTTGGTCGGTTTTCTTTGGCGCAAAAATACGGAAAACTATTTTGAGTCCCGCGAAATTTATGTTTCAAGAAACTGACCAACTTTGGTCGGTTTTTTAATTAAAATAAATAAAAATTAATATTAAAAAAATCGACCAAAATTGGTCGGTTAATTCGGCCGGTCATTTAAAAAACCGACCAACTTTGGTCGGTAATTTTACTTTTTAATAAAACCGACCAACTTTGGTCGGTTATTTTCGTGCGAAAATACAATTAAAGAGTATAAATCAAATAAAAGATAGTCTTAAAACAAAATGTACCAATGATCTAGTGGTAGAATAATATCCTGCCACAGTACAGACCCCGGTTCGATTCCCAGATGGTGAATCTTTTTATTACACAATTAAAATACCGACCAACTTTGGTCGGAAAAAACCGACCAACTTTGGTCGGTTTTTTTTGTAATATTATTTTTTTTGAATTTAATTGACCGACCAAAGTTGGTCGGTAATTTCCGACCAACTTTGATCGGTATGCCTTTCCGACCACAAAAATACCGTCCATACGTAAATAGTCGCGTTTTGGTCGGTTTTTGGCCATTATCGACCAACGTTGGTCAAATTTTTTGGTCGATTTTTATCGAATTTCAAGTAGTGATTCGTCTATCTTGAGGAATGTGTCCTATGCAGATCTTGAAGCCTGTACTTCAATCTACAAATTAGTTTCAGGAAGAGCAGAAGGGGAAAGCTTAAAATTCGTGAGCGCTATATCACATCAACCGAGACAATGGTCAATAGGTGATCAAGAAGGCACATGGCTACGTTGGTGACTTGACTTCTACTGCAATTCGGAGGGAGGGGTACTTGCCTAAAGTCTACCTAAATGGTTGTTGACTTATGTCATAATTTGTGACTGCTTTCCACGACCTCCACCCAAATCTTAAACAAAGTTTTCACTCTTTGGGTTTCATCTTCTTTTAATATAATAGCCAAGAAATAAGAATAATTTTCTGTTATAACTGCCAAATTAAGTACTTTTAATGGCCGTTCTTCTTTCTTACCAAGTATATCTTTTGTGGTCAAAAGTACTTTTCCCCCGAGTAAGATAATAAGAAGTACTTTTATGGCCACTCAAGATCGCTCATGTCGAGAAGATGAATAAGGATATTGAGATAGATATGCGGGCACACCAGGTTAGAAAGGATTAGAAATGAGGTTATTCGCGGCAAGGTGGGTGTGATCCCTATTGAGGAAAAGATACGGAAAGCGCGGCTTAGGTGGTTTGGTCGTGTGAGGAGAAGGAGCACATACGCCCTGGTGAGAAGGTGTTAGAGGTTGACATTGGGGGGCTTACGAAGAGGTAGAGGGGGCCAAAGAAGAGGTGGGGAGAGGTGATTAGGCAAAACATGGCGCAACTTCAGCTGACCGAGGACATGACCCTTAATAGGAAGGAATGGAGTCAAGGATTAGGGTAGTAGAGTAGGAGGTCTAGAGTTCAATAACAGTTGTATTGGCAAGCAGTCTCGTTTTCTGCTGGTAGTAGGTTTTTATGACTAACCGTTATTTTCTTTTGTGAGCACCTAATTTTTTATCATACTTGAGTTTTTTCCCATTAATCTCACCAATACCTCACTTCTCACTCCATTTTCCCTTGCTCCCCACTCTTTGTCCCCCCACTCTTTATTCCCACTTCACTTTCCCTTCTCCCCCATGCTTGTCCCATATTCACCTCCCTCCCTTTACAAAAACCTAGACATTCACTCTCTCATAGGACCTCACACACACACACACGATTGAGGGAGAAAAAAAATAGAGCTAAAACAATAGAGAAAAAATCAGAGAAAAACGGGGAAGACTGGAACGGAAAAAGGACTGCTTCTTCTTCACTATAGCGGCAGCTCACGAACCCTTCTTCCCTACGTGAAAACCAGCTCTTTTACCCCCAAAATCGACCACCATAAACACCAACAACAACCACTAAAACCATCCGAAAATAGACCAAAACAATCCACAAAACAACTTGAAATAGCAACTGAAAATCTGCTCAACTCCATCCTCAAAAGACCTCAAACTATCGCAAAACTCGTGAGTGAGTGAGATCTCCATTTGAAATTTGTTTGAGGCCTCTGCAGTCCAAAGTTTCGGTTAAAAACATGAGCCATTTCCCAACGCTGCTACTTTATGTTTTCCGATGTTGTGTCCAAAGGTGCTTGCTAATAAAATTTGCTTGAAGAAGTTTGGCTTCTAAAAAAGGTTTAATACTAAACTCTTTGTTCATCGTTTAATATCTGAATTTTATTTTTGTAGCATTTGATTGTAATATCTATTAGGCTTGGTGTTTTCTCTTTACTCTTAAATGAGAGTGCCTTTGTTTGGTAAAAACAGTGATTAGCTCGTTATTGGTCATCTTGTGCAATTTTGGTGCTTTGTGCAGTTCTTAGCAATGTGTTCACTGGTTCGACTATATTGATATTGTACAGATTTGTGAAGTATTATAATTTTTACTGTTGAACCCATTAATTAAATAGGATGGAACAAGTTTTGGAATTACAAGCAGAATGGTTTGAGTTAATAAGGGGTGCACACACTATATTTGGGGAAATAATTTAATAATATTAATTTCTTAAGTTGCAAAAATGTTTGACTTCTTTGTTGAACCAGAAGCAAAACAATTTAGTTTTGTATATAATTTATTTGTTTCTATATATTCTTTGCATGTGTCTTTGGAACTGTTATTTTAATCACTGGTTGTCCCATTTGCTTCATTCTGTGCGATTAATTCATGAATTAATTTGATACTTGTTAACAATTGGGTGGAGTAGCGGTTGGAATTAATCGGACCAATTGATTTTACAAAGAAAATGTATTTAAGTTGTAGTTTCTTTTAAATATTTATTAGCCCATTAGCCTAATAACAAGATCATACTATTTTTCCACAATAGTTTCCTATCTATAATTCATTGCCTTCACATACAATAATCTCAAGTTTAGAAAGAATAATAAATACCCCTTAGAGTGCTTTAGGCGTGCTTTTAATGAATATATCGTGATTATGTATACGTTCGCGTGACATAATTGTGATTTCTAAAATTAAAATCGAAGTATGTGTTCGCGCAACTTTGGCCAAAATAATCTTAATATAACAAAAATGCTATTAATTGTGTACACGCACGCGTGACATGATTTTGGCACAATAAACAAAACGGATTCACACACATGATTCGTTTCAAAGATAATTTTATATTTTAAAAGCGGATAGATAAAATATTTAAACCAATAATTCATAGTTTATCCAAAATTAATTCAAGCCAAGTTGTAGTCAATAAAGCGACCGTGCTAGAACCACGGGACTCAGGGAATGCCTTTCACCTTCTCCCCGGTCAACAGAATTCCTTACCCGAACTTTATTTTCGCAGACCAATAATAATAGAGTCAAACTTTCCTTTGACTAGGGATTCAAATAAAAGGTGACTTGGAACACCAAAAAACTCAATTTCAAGTGGCGACTCTGTAAATAATATAATCCCTACTCAAGTTTGTCACTTTAATTGGAAAAACTCTTTAACCCACAATAATCCATAAAACACATATATCTTTTGGAGAGTAAAAGGGGGTGTAACAGTTCTGGCGACTTTGCTGGGGACATAACCAGAATTCGAGCTTGCACATGTTGACTTTTTATTTGGCTTTATTAATTTTGTATATATTGTGATTTATTTGTGCCTAATGTGCTACCTGTTCGTTTTTTACCGCTTTGATATTATTGAACTGTACATATAAACAGTCTTCTCACGCACCCCCTCTGAGTCTTCTTGAAAATACAAATTGGGCATTTGCTTGACATAGCCCACTTTCTTTGAGATAGCCGAGGTGCTTGTCACCCGGTGAAAGATTTTTAGTCACACATGTTTTAGGCGTGGAGCACCACCAGCTAATTTGGAAAGCAATGCTATCGGTACGCTGACCCTCCTCGGCTCAAGTTGTTCGCTCGAGTAAGCCATTCTAGATACCTTC